GAACAGTGAAAATGGAAGTCTGTTCTTTATGCAACTGTTCAGCCCGTCCACAAGTTTCTGCGGAGATTCCGGCCGCATGGTTGGAGGAGGGCTGTTAAATAAAGAAGTAATAACCGAAACTGCGCTTGTGAGGATCCCGCAAAGTGAGGAGTGCCGCAGCTGTCCTGCCTCTCTCTTACTGGCTCCTCTGTGGCTGGGGAGGTACGCTAAACCCCGTGGCTGTCCCCGTGGCTCCAGGCTAAGGACTGGAAGCCAGCCAAGACACGGCAGACTTGTCAGTACTAATGGTCTCTTTCCTCATTTTGATGGCTGAAGTTCTTGTGGCTGGCGAATTCCTCACACTGTCTACAACAGATAAGTATAATCTGTGGTCTAAATAGGAAAGGAGAAGGAGAAACCTCAGATGTGTTGATTCCTGGCCCCATGTTCAGCTGTTACGTCCTCAAAAGGCTTCCAACTCAGGTTCCCGGCACATTGGCTAAGGCTCAATATTGAGACCGGACAGACTTGTCTCATGAGTGGAGGTCACTGGCCCACCACATTCCTCTTGACTCTATTGCTTATGGGGATTTTGAAGTCTGGTCAAAAATAAATGAAAATATCCCTACAATTCCAAGCCAGACCTCACTGTACTCTATCACACGGGATAGCCAAGAAACAAGTCCAGGGCACATCAGGTTGAGGTGAGGTCCAGCAACCCATATTTCACTTTCTGTAAAATCTGGATAGGGACAGTTTTGACAATCGTGGTAAATTTTTGATATGCCTCTGATGTTTCTAATCCTGCCCGAGCTTCTCCCAAAGAATTCCCCTTAACCATACCTCCCAATGTAATTTCCTGCGAACGACTAGGCACAGAAATACCTTCAAAGTGAGTTTTCCAGACAATTACACTTGCAGAAAGGCAATTAATACCAACGAACAATATACACGTCTTTATGTAAAATGTGGCCTTCGATGCTGCTTGCTGAAGATGTTTATAGTGCTGTTATCTTTATTATATAAATTACAGCTGTGTTCAGCAATATACACAGAGTCTCTTGGAGAAATGTTTACATGTAACACTAAATGTGGCTACATGTACTACAATGTCTTGTGATTAGACTTTTAATTAAATTCAGCTCAGGTAACTGCTTTATAGAATATATGTTAAAATTACAAACCTCTTCCAGACCCAGGTGCCCTATAACAATAACCATTCAGGGGTCATCTATTGCCTTGAGCAAAAAGCTATGCAATAGGCAATCAGAAATTGCTTGGGGCTTCAGTGAAATCAAAATGGGTCCAACAATAATTGGCCCTGAAGTGTGTTGAAACCATTTTTTAAATAATTTCTGGGATCCTGTTGTTTATTCATTCTTTGAGAGTAAAAACATTTACATTAAATAAATCAGAGTCTGAATGTATAATAATGAATTCCATTTATATGAAGAATTTTTTAAATACTTAAATTAATCCCCGAACTCATGTTTATATGACTGATGTATTCTTCATTATCAAATAAACAGTTCAGTTAATACTGGCTAAGTTACCAGTGGAATAACTAAGGCTTAGACACTAGCCAACAAATATCAAAGCTAAAACTGGACCCTATCTTTCTGAGTATTAGTACCATTTAAAGCCTAAAATTGTACATCATGTACTTTTAATTATGTTTGTTTTCCAAAGTGCCACACCAAAATCAATATATATTTTCTTCACGAAGAGGAATCACCAGAAACATCTTGAGACGAAGCTGAACATTGATTGAGCAAATTAATTATAAATACTGATGCTTCCTTCTTGATTTCCTTATTAGGAAGGACTTTATGGCTTAAATCAAAAAGATCTGTTTACAAATTTGCTAAAGTAAACTCTCATATTTGAAAGACATGGAAGAGAAGGACAACATCCCCAGAACAACAAATTAGTGTATTCGATGTCTTTTTTTCTAGAATCCTAATGGTTAAACATCAGAGCCCAGTCCATGACATAAAAGTTCTACAGTTGTTATTACTTCAACTCATTCTTTATTACTTTCTTCTCTCTTTTCTTATTAAAATGCTAATGAAGTATTAGATTCACCTGCCAAGAATGAATTCATCCCCTGGTTTGCATTTAGGAGAACAATGCTTATTTTAATTCTTAGGAAACAAATCACAAAGGAACTCATAAGAGATACAGAAATTTGAAATCTCCCTAAAAGAAAATATATCCTGTTTACGTCAAGTTATTTTGGGAATCATAAAATATCCTTAGAATTTTTCAAAATAAAAACTAGTATAGTGGCTTTTATAATACTCAGGTCAAGCATTCAGGAGTTAAAGGTTAAGAAATAATATTTACTTTTATTTAGTTCAGTGGAAAAGTGCATTGATTTCCATAAAGATTACAGATTCTTACATTGTTACTCTAATATATCTTATTTTTGTCGCAGTAGATCAATAATTATCTAATTAACCATTTATCTTAATTAAGGTCACAAGTTAATTTTTACATCATTTATTATAAACTGACAACTTGCATTATATATGTGATTGACATGCCTTCTCTTGCTCCTCTTAAGTAATGAGAATTATTTTTTGTTAGGCTTTGAAAGTGGTAATAGTTTGTGCCATGTTAGTTTAAGATGGCAAGATACTTGGGGCGCCTGGGTGGCTCAGTCGGTTAAGCGTCCGACTCTTGGTTTCGGCTCAGGTCTTGATCCCACGGTTCCTGAGATCGAGCCCCACATCTGGCTCTGCACTGACAGCAGCTAGCCTGCTTGGGATTCTCTCTCATGTCCTTTCTCCGTCCTTCCTTCTCTTTCTGCCCCTCTACCACTCTCACTCTCTCTCTCTCTCTCTCAAAATAAATAAATAAACTTCAAAAATTATTTTTTAAAAAGACGGCAAGATGTTCGTGTCACAGTGTGAAAGAGAGCTGTGGGTTTCAGAGGATGGATGTCCGATGAAGGGAACGGAGCATCACAGGATACAATATGCATCTCCCCTCGGCTTTCATTCCCGTTTACTGTCACTAAGTTATAAAATTGCAGCATGATGGGTCTATGTCTGTTTTACACACATTACTAAGTCTGCTAGGGTGCCTTTTATGAATAAGGACAAAAACAAATCAGTGCTTTATGAATGCTTCTGTCCATTCACTAGCCCCATAAAGAACTTTCTGTGTTTGATCTCCCACTTGATTCAACTTCATATATTTGAAGAAGGAGCTGAATTGGCCACTCAGTCTCTCGTGGTCTTCCTGGTGCACAAGGCAGTGAATGGCCTGGACATCTGTGGATTAGGACTGTTAGGGGTGGGGCAGAATTGTTCATCTTTTTTTTTTTTTAATTTTTGTTAACTTTATTTATTTTGAGAGAGACAGAGACAGTGAGAGTCGGGGAGGGGCAGAGAAAGGAGACAGAGAATTCCAAGCAGGGTCTGCACTGTCAGCACAGAGGAGCCCGAAACGGGGCTTGAACCCACGAAACCGTGAAATCGTGACTCGAGTTGAAACCAAGAGTCAGATGTTTAACTCATGGAGCCACCCAGGCGCCCCAGGGTGGGGCAGAATTTTTAGACAGTAAATTGTGTACAGAGATTTCAGAAGAACTACGATGAAAGGGAAAAAAATAAATGAACACACAGTAAAAGGATTCTACAAAGCACTGCAAAGGACTGTGTTCTCTTCTTGTTCATGAGAACTATGATCAAGAAACAACTTATTTTGAAATTACTTTTTGATTTACGTGCTGTGGTTTTTGACACGGCCTGACCAGAACATGGAAAACTTGCTTTGCAAAGATTAATTTTCGTTGGTTTACTTACCCGTATAAAAAGATTACCATAATAACCAAGACCCATCAATTAAAACAGAGTATTTTCTTTTAAAATGTTTGCACAATTTTCTGTGATTTTTTTTTTTTTAAATTTTGTTTTTCAACGTTTATTTATTTTTGGGACAGAGAGAGACAGAGCATGAACGGGGGAGGGGCAGAGAGAGAGGGAGACACAGAATCGGAAACAGGCTCCAGGCTCCGAGCCATCAGCCCAGAGCCCGACGCGGGGCTCGAACTCACGGACCGCGAGATCGTGACCTGGCTGAAGTCGGACGCCCAACCGACTGCGCCACCCAGGCGCCCCTGTGATTTTTTTTTAAGTAGGCTCCATGTGTATGTAGTGCAGAGCCGAACATGGGACTCCACTCAACGCTGAGATCAAAACCTGAGCCAAGATCAAGAGTTGAGCTTAACCGTCTGAGACACCCAGGTCCCCCAATTTTCAGTGATTTGTAAATATTTTCATTTATATGTGTAACTTTAGATTGAAATGCTTTCCTGGTTTACCTCAAACTTAACTTCGGTATATGGCAAATGACCACATATTCTCCCCAACCCTGTATGCAAGCCCCTTTTCAATATGACTTTGCTTTTCTTTCCATTAAGGGCTGGAGTGTATTTCTTCAAACTCTATCTTGCTCATGAGCTTTGCTTTGACAAATGGCATGTTAGCAAATGTAACGCAAGGCGAAGTTTGAAAAGTGTGCCCTCTCTTGCTGCCGGGGAAGTTCCATCGTGATTAGTTTACTGAAGAAACAGCAGTCTGGTATCGAGAGGCCCCAGCCTTCCGACACGTCCAGCTGAGATGTGCACACCTGAGTGACACTATCCTGGACCACCCTGCCACACGTGCCCAGCCCAGGACTGCCCAGGCAACCCACAAGGTCAAGGGCAGATAAATCACTGTCTTATGCAACTGAACTTTGGTGGCCAGTTTGTTATGCGGCAAAAGCTAACTGATACCTTTACTTCCTTTTTCTCTTTTATATAGATGGCTTAACACAAGTTCTTAAAGGAACACCAAAGTAAGCGTGTGAGCCAACCAAAACTGTATGCGCACCATTACGTGTTTTTCTTTGACTCGCAAACTTAAATCTAGTCATGGATAATAACAGATGTACTATTATGTCCACTACAAATATAGAAGACACGACTGTATTCTAAAACTGCATCGCGGAAACCAAAGTACAACAGGTACCTGATGGTCTTTCCTGGGTCGGCCTCGATGGTCCAGGTACAATGCAGGTTGTTGTCATAGGGAGCAGGGTAGCCGGGAGACAGGATGCGCCCTGACGTGGCAGCATGGATATGACCACCACACTCCGCTGCGAGACAGGGAAACAGGAGCGGAGTCACTCCAGGCCCACGGATTTCCATACAGCTCTTTTAATAACAAACCCCCAAACCATCACGTCCACCTTATACACACAACCAAACAAAATCCCATTCGTCCGTCTCCATCATTTGTTTCCTTTACTTATTCCCAAGCATCACCCTGATGGAAAGACATAATCTGCTACGTAATTAAAGTCGAGAGTATAAAACAATGAAACACTTGAGTTATAATTCCAATAGCAATTCTGTGCAGACAGCCTCAGTAAAACAGTACCAGGAAATCGTCCTTTCCTACAGAAAACAAGAAACAACAAAAAGACATGCATATCTTGGAAATACATAAAAACCTACACTGCAGAGAGAGCAGAAAAACCCTGCCCTCTTCCGAAGCACCGTGGGGCTCCTGCTCTCAGGTATGCTTTTGTGTAGTGAGGAGGCCAACTTCCCAACTCACCTACACAGGAAGGCAGGGGCTTGTCCCACACTCTCCGGTCGCCACTCAGGCAGGTCAGACTGTTGCTGCCATGCATGGCATAGCCTGGGTTACAGCTGTACAGAACTACAGTGTCGGTAAAGTGGCCTTCATCTCGGATCCTATAGCCATAGTTAGGGATTCCGGGATCCTCACATTTTACTAGGTCAAAACCTGTGAGAAAGGAGGGGAAAGATTGAGGAGAAGTAACGGCAGACTGTAGGTTAGCATCAAATAAAGACGAGATGGTGTAGGTTATCAAATGCCTCCCGGAGCTTGGAAAGAAAAAGAAGACTGTGAATTTAAAAAGGGAAAAACACAGGTGGGTCTCGAGTGGACTTCTTTGGTAACCATGTGTCATCCCGTGATGCTTGATTATTTTATTTGTTCTTATCTATTTACATAATTATACAGAGTCTCTTCTCCTAGGAGTTCCAAATTCTCGTCTGCTAATCTAGGTTGCCTGCCAGCATGCTGAATTCTCCAGTAAGCCTTAGAGCCTTGTCTCATGGAGCTGTAAGCTTTTCCTACTTCCACATTCCTTCTGTCAAACTCAAACTCTCCAGAAGGAGGGACCAGCCATGCCTGTGTGGCACAGAGCCTGAAAGGCACTCTTCAGGGTCCTTACTGCCAGCACTGACTGTAACCTACAGTCATGACCCGCCCACCTTCACACCATCTTTCTCTTTAACTGCAAGATCTTAAGCGTCATGGGAAACTGAAAAGTTGTTCCTACTCACAGAAGGCAGGCTTGTGAATTTCCACCTGCCACACTGCTGTGGCATACAGTTAGGGGGGCTTCTGGGCAGCTAACTCCATGTGCAACGGAAATCCCAGAAATGAATCACTATAATGACTTCGCCAAACTTAGCTCTTAAACTCAAAGAAATAGATGACAGAAATGAAGATTTAGCTTCTGCAGTACTGAGAGCTGTATATTGCTTTTATGTGAAGCAATATATTACGGCCATCTGTGGAGACAGTCTTCCACTAACATTTCTCCCCTTGTATCCCGATGCAAATGTTGACCGTTTTAAAAAGGAGAGCTGGGAACTTGATGTACCACATGGTCTGTTAACATTAACTTCCACCTAACTTTGACTTCTTCCTTTCAGAAAAAAAGAAAGAAAATAAAAAAAGAAAAGATAAGGGGGGGAGGGAAAGAGAGAGAGAGAGAGAGGGAGGGAGGGAGGGAGGGAGGGAGGGAAGGAAGGAAGGAAGGAAGGAAGGAAGGAAGGAAGGAAGGAAGGACGGATTTGTGATTTTTGATAGGTCGGCCTGCCAGACTTGCATTTGAGATGGTTTCCATGGAGGACAATATATCCATAAATTCGCAACATAATGCCACCCTGATGATCTCTATATAATCAGGATTTGAGTTCTGCAGTTTTGTACAGGGGAGAGAAAATGACATGTGGTCATTTACACTCAAGTTGCTAACTCTCTTCCTAAAAGTGTCCACCATAAAGTATTAGTCGTTACTAACTATGCCTTTACAATAACTCTGATCTATTTAAGAAATGCAAATACTGAAAAACCTTGGATTGTGACTAACTCATTCTGCGAGTCTTCTGCAAGATGAGCAAACATTTCTAACAAATTGTAACGTGACACACGAGCGATGTCTTCCGATACGAGTAGTACGTGCCGTCGAATGTCACGTGATCACAACTGAGCCGATGGTTCTTGATATTCGCTTTGATCTACAAGTGCCTTGGATGACAAGTGTGTTTCTGGAATGAATTATGCTGGCAAACCAAGGTTTTATTGTAATTTTAAGTCCAGTTGCCCAGAAGGAAAGAACATAAGAGAACATCAATTCCAGTGCAAAACAAAGGGGTATTTTAATTGCCACAAAGGGGAGGCAGGCATTTAGGGGAAGGGTCTCAGGGCTCACGCAGATATCTGACTACTCTAATCTGACCACAGACAGCCAACACACCGGGGAGAAAGCAAGCCAGTATCCTGCTGAAGTTGCGTCGGACAGACAACCATGGGACAGAAGCGTCGCAAAAGGCTCTACCCATTAATTAGCCTGTGCTTCTCCTTCTACAAAAGGGAAAACGGACCCGGAGTCTTCGTTGTTGTTGCTTTATGTGGTTCTTGGGTTGGAGGCGCGGGGATCTGAGCAGTGCTTTAAAGCAAGGCCGCAGGGTGTGAGGAACTGAGGACAGAACCAACAAGGAGGTGCGGCCACGCCTAAGGAGGGCCCCGCTCCTGGTAACAGGTAACGTCTCAGATGTTCCACTACTGTGAAGTCAAATTAGGTATTTAAGTATCAAATGCCAGTGGAAGATAAAATTGAAAATATTCAGTAGACAAACAAAAGCCAGGTATCAACAAGAGCCAGGGGTCTGTCACTAGCATCCACACCCTTGTGCCAGGATGCCGGGTAAGCCAAGGAATCCATACGAGGAGTTGACAGCCTTCATGCTCAAGGACATGCAGGGCTTATCAACGAAGAGCAAAGTCCGTGCAGGACAGCAGGCCCTGGGAGACAGTTACGACCTCCTGTCCCGTGGAAATTCACACCTGGCGGCACACGAGCCTCCGACCTTTCAAGGAGCACCAGAAATCGGGATTCCTTTTTAGTTTATAATGATTGTTGAGTGACTAAATATTCTGAAAGTGGAGATGTTTAAAATCCAGAATCAGATTGTTAAAGCCAGATGTCAGCAACACAAAGGACCAGATGGTTTATTGGCTTTTGGTGAAGGCTTTAATGGCACTCGGAATGGGAGAAAAAGTTGGCAAATCCATCGAATGTTTCTTAGATTTTTTTTTCAAGTTTATTTATTTTGAGAGAGACAGAGACAGCACAAGCGGGGGAGGGACAGAGAGGGAAGGAGAGACAGAGAATCCCAAGCAGGTTCCATGCTGTCAGCGCAGAGTTCAACGTGGGGCTCGAACTCAGGAAACTGTGAGATCATGACCTGAGCCAGAATCAAGAGTCGGACGCATAACTGACTGAGCCCCTCCAGACCCCCCCACCTAATGCTTCTAAACTAAGCTTTGAAACACAAGCACCTGGGGCGCCTGGGTGGCGCACTCGGTTAAGCGTCCGACTTCAGCCAGGTCACAATCTCGCGGTCCGTGAGTTCGAGCCCCGCGTCAGGCTTTGGGCTGATGGCTCAGAGCCTGGAGCCTGTTTCCGATTCTGTGTCTCCCTCTCTCTCTGCCCCTCGCCCGTTCATGCTCTGTCTCTCTCTGTCCCAAAAATAAATAAACGTTGAAACACAAGCACCTGCTGTGGAGTACTAAGGCCTGGACGAGGAAACGGTCAAGCTTGCCCAGGACCTCCGATGATGAGGACCAGTTGCTTCTGGGTGACAGAGAACTGTTTTGTTATAAAAGATTCCCTTGGCAGAGGTGCGTGCCCGTGCTGATAAAGTAATGACATTGAACTTCCTGTGTGACTTGTGCGCTTTCTCACGAGCTTCTAGTCTGCAGCTTTACAGACAAACCTCTACAAGTAACCACTTGCGTTAAAACCTTTCTGGAGGAACGTAAAAAAGAACATTGGAGGGCAAATAATAAAACAAATAAAGATGTACTAATAAAAAAAGTCTGCCAAGCCTTCTTTGGGTTGATTTTTTTTTTTTTTTTGAGAAAGGTTTGACAGCTTTTTCTATCATTTAATCTTGAATTAAAAAGAAAAAAAACAACACAACACATCCTGTCACACAGTTGAGCCAAGTTGTCTCTGAAAGGGTAGTTGCTATCTCCAGTACCTGTGGTACTTGCTTTCTTACGGTGCCTTCTAGTAGTTTTTCAAAAGTTTGCTTATGTCTTCAACGGCATCATGAAATTCCTTATGTATAAAAAGTCCTACACTCGATTACTAAGCACCCAAAGCCTCTAGGCCCATCCAACGTCATGATAGGAAATACATTCCTCTTCCCTGTCAGACAGTTGAAAAGTATTTGGACATTCCAGAATTCAGCTTTCCAATTTTCAGTCCACCAAAGAGAGCTTTGTTCACACAAAATGCCCCACATGATTTAATAGTTCCTTTCCAGTTACAGGTGGAACCATAGACTTTATTCCTGGAGGAAGCATTGAAAGTAGTATTGATCAATGTCTTGAAACGGCTGGAGAAATCCTCAGAAACCCCACATTTCCCTCGCTGTAGGGACTGTTGGACTCAGTCCGTCCACAAGCACCGGAAACACATCCCCGCTCGCTCTCTGTCCACAAACTGCTGAATTCATTTCGACTGAGTTTGGCTTGCTTTGTGGTTAAGGAGTTGTAACATCATTGTGACTCTGAAAACATTTCAACACCGCTTTTAAACACCGGTGAACTCATAAGTTGCACTGATGTCTAACAGCAACATTCCGAAGTAGCAAAAAACTCCCTGATGAATTCCATGACTATTTCAGGAAAAAAAATTTCCTGTCGTTAATCAAAAATACCTCAAAAACTATTTTTAAGATTTATCTTTAGATCTCAAAGATACTCCTCCAAAGAACAGACATTTCCATTTTAATCTGAATCTGAAACACTTTATAATGACCAATCTTAATACTGCTAAAGGGTGATGACTTTAAAAATATAGAGAAGATATCCCTTTCTGTCTTGGAGCCACCAGCCTGCACGAAATCAGTGTAGCAAATACTGGTTCTGTATATTCTTTTAGGCCATAGAACCTTTAAAAAAGATTAAAGCCAGTTATTTATTTCAAAACATTATCTATTAAGAGTTGTGATTGGTATTGAATTTATTTAGTAATTCCATTTGTGTCTGTTTCCTGTGATTCCTTCTGAGGTCATATAAGTAGCAAAGATGCTTTGGACTAAATGTTCCAGGGAAAACAGGCTGTAAACATCAGGCAGATGGAAATGACCTCTCCACATCTTTTACAGTATTTACCCTGTCTTAATATTTTTTAAGAATTAAGTGGTATATATCTTGAGCACCTAACAAAATAATAGCATTATAAGAGACTTCCACTTAACTCTCAAGTATCTGGTCTAGTTCTTATCTTCCCCATAAAGCACTTGTGTGAGACAAGAACTTGCCCTGGATCTGATCCATTCTGTGCCTGCAGGCTCAACGAGGCCCGCAGTCATGAATTTCCCCAGCCTTTGTCTAAACAGCTTTTGAGAAGGTGCTTTCTCGAGTAGGCGAGCTTTGAGAACCACAACTGAGAAAGAAGCATATTCCTCATTCAC